AATCCTTAAATAAAAGGTTGGTTATCATTTGTTATGTAATTCAAGAAATGAAAAAGATAAATTAGTGTTTTCACAGAAAAATGTTGACTCAAAAGTAAGCGGAATCAAATTGTGTTCTCCGATATTGATGTGAAATTTTCATCACAGTTTATCAGGATTAGGACTCATGTTTATGTCAGGAATGTCCATTTTACGTCTGTATGGATTCTCTGTTACTTGGACTTAATCTGTAGTTGTTATTATGATTATTATTATTATTATTTTTTAAGATTGAAGAAATAAACAATTTTACCCCCCCCCCCCTCTCTCTCCTCTCTCTCCTCTCTCTCTCTCTCTCTCTCTCTCTCTCTCTCTCTCTCTCTCTCTCTCTCTCTCTCTCTCTCTCTCTCTCTCTCTCTCTCTCTCTCTCTCTCTCTCTCTCTCTCTCTCTCTCTCTCTCTCTCTCCCCCCCTCCCCCTCCTCTCTCTCATATGACGCATAGAAAAGAAAAAAAAAATGCAGTAACAGCTCCTGGTTCTGAGGATTTTTATTTTGGCATAAACATCTTTTCAGGAACAGTGTCATAGTTGGATATAGTTTTTTTTTCTTTGCTTTTCTTTTTTTTTGTACATTTATTTGCATGGTACAAAATATTTTCTATATAACTTACACTGATCAAGCGAGTGAAATAAAGTTGTTGTTTTGATTACCAGGTTCGAATTGAAGGAAACGTAGAACGTATCAGTGAAAAGGAGTCGACAGATTATTTCCATTCTCGCCCACGCAGCAGTCAGATTGGAGCATGCCTTAGCCCACAAAGTCAGGCAAGTAAAATACAATGAGCATTTATTACAGAACTTTGCCAGTCTTAATGATAAAATATTGCTAGAACTAATATATCAACATTGCAAAAAGGAAAGAGATTTAAAAAAAATACTGTATCATTGGTACAGGGTAAATTAATATTGTCACTTTTAGGTCATCGAAGGTCGCCATGTACTGACAGATAAAGAAAAGCAACTTCAAGAAGAATATAAAGATGAAGAGAAGTCCATTCCAAGACCAGAAATATGGTAAGTTAGCTTTACTAGCCTGAATAAAAGTATATTGCAAAACTATTGACCATACAAATCACCAAGTTACTTCAAAGAAATCAAAGCCCTCAAGATGTTATGATATCTAAACTTTCAATTACAGGGGCGGCTTCCGTGTCATACCAGAAGTAATTGAATTCTGGCAAGGACAAACAACACGCATTCATGACAGGATCCGCTTCAGAAAATCTAAAGCTGACGAAACCATCGATAAAAGCTTAACTCATGAAGGAGAAGAGGGCTGGGTTTATGAGAGGCTGGCTCCATAAAAACAGAAGACAGCGTATGGAAGAAGAGGCTAGATTTTTTTCTCTCTCACTCAGATACATGCATTACCATTTATACTTTCAGTGACTTCGGCATTATGTAAGCAATTGTTGTGATGAAATGTTTTAGGGTTGTTCCTGGCAGGGAATTGCTTTATCGTAACTGTACTTTCTGAACGATTAAATAAATCACAGTGTACAAGAGGATGCCAAAAATCAGAGATGTATTTCATGTGTATTGTTGCTGTAATTTATGGGTTCAATTGTTATATGTTGGTTATTATAAAGAGTATGAAAGAATGTGCTTTATTTATTCATAACTTGAAAACTTGCATATCATTATACATATCCATCTATCACACGTGCACACACTCGCACTTTTACACAAACGGATATGAATGCACACATACATACAGATGCATTTATTGTGTGCCATTCTGTATTGTATGTTAAGTCAGATGTAGATTCTCAGTATATGAGGGTATGGACATCCTAAGATGTTCTTAATTTTTTTTTCATCATTAGTCCCCATCAGGGGAAGATACCAGACATCGACTATCACAAGAATGTAAGTACATGCAGGTCCAAAGGCGATCACAGATCAGTTGCCCAAAAAATGCATTTATTAACTATTATGTTAGTTGAAACTTTCATTTATAATGTAAGTAGCGACAAATTTCCATAAATGCCCTACAATCTCATGACTGTAATGTATTAACATTAACACACTGATGTTTGTTATAGATGAAACTTAAATGAACAATACATTTAATAAGCGCATTTTTGGGCAATTGGTTTTAGAACACCTTTTGTCACGTATGTCTTCATATTCTGAGGACAGTCTTTGTCTGATGTCTTCCCCTTGATTAGGGCTAATGAAGGAAAGAAAAAGAAATAAAAATGAAAGAAAGAAAAGAGCAAACATTAAAAAATAGGGAGTAAGACAGAGTAAACTTGCAACTGAACATTTATATATTATTTGTCTTGTATGCAGTGTATTTAGTCGTGCTGTAACCCATGCTAATGTCGGGTAAATCTTCCATTAGAATGTAAGGATTTTACAATAAGGATACTGTGTCATGGGCATTAATAAAAGAATATTCAATATTATTGTTATTTATTTTTGAATCTCATTTCTAGGATTTCTCGCTTCAAACCTGA